AATCATAAATCAATCCATCAAATCAAGAAATAGCTGCATCCTATGGTGTTTCCCCCAGAAATCGGGGTTTAGTTCATGACGAAATTAAGATAAATCGATAGGGTTTTGTTCATCATGTTCTAAATCAACAATACACAACTAGTTCGGTTTAGAAAATCCAACCAACTCATCGCTCTCGTTGAATTCGGTTCAAACCTTGAAAAACAGATCGCCAATTGCCAATCGCATCCCAAGCTTGCTGCTGCTTTTCTTTTCTCCGCTGCGCCTCTTTCTCCTCAAGAATTCTTGCCCTCTGGGAAAAACAAAAGAGCCGCCCTTTATAATTCCATGTCCGACTTTTATTTCCCCTCTCCCTTTTCTTTCAACCAACGAATTTCTTTTTCTCTCCAATCCAAAAAGCCAGCCGCCCAAAAATTGCTTCTCCCCGTGTCCAATAATTTCCAAAGAATGCCCACCTGCTCCTCTCCTTTTGGGCCCATTATTTCACCAAAAAGAAATCCACCCTTCTAAAAACGTGTCCCTCAACCCAATATGTAATTTCCTGGCCCAAGACTCTTCCTCCTTCCTCCCAATTTCGTTTTTTCTTTTTCTGGCCCATATCCTAATTGCAATTAAGTGCCCCCAAGTATAATCCGGCCCAAAAAGAATCCTCCCCCACAAGGCTATTTGGGCCCAATTAATTGTTTGTGCACTCGCTTCTTTTTCGTGCTTTTTCCACCTGTAACATATCAAACTCATGGCACTAGGCAGTAATGGTTTTTCAACCATTCTCGGGTTAGCGAGCCCTAAAATAGCGCCAATTGGCTAAAACATACCATGAGATAATCACATAAAGTCCAAAAATTCAATATGTTAAAGCCGATTTTCACAGACTCTAGTAAGAATAAAGCAGTTCATAAGTTAATAAAACAACCTAATTTAAATAATTTAGCTATTTTAGAACCAAGAGTAAGGGAAGGGTTAGCTAAGAGTTAATTTAAGATAGATATCTAGGTTTGGAAGAGGAGGTTGCTAATAATGCAAATGGATTGGGAAAGTGTGGTTGGCTCTGGAGGCAGAATGTCAAATTGAGAGTCCACCATACATACTAGTTCATTCATGCCTTCGTAAGCTCTGATAATCCTTTCTTTATTACATTTGTATATGCCAAAAATGAGGAAGTTGATAAAAGAAAATTGTACGAAGATATTGATAAAATTCAGATTCCTACAAAACCTTGGGTCGTTCTAGGGGATTACAATGCTATTGGGAATCCTATCAAAGATTCTAATGCACCTGCGTTTTTCGCTAGTTTGTCAGAGTTTTAGAAATGGCAGTTCCACCATGCGTTAGAGGAACACAAGTCATTAGGTCTATGGTTCACATGGATAAATAAACAAGAGGGTAATCTCATAGCTAGAAGGTTGGATAGATCCTTTGTGAATATGAAGTAGCTAAAGGTTTTCAATTCTAGTGTGACTGACTTGTTTGATCCCCTCTTCCCACTACAAAAAAATGGACTTATGCCAAGGGTTTTCTAGCAAGGTTTCTGGAACCCTTGCTAATTTTTCCGGAATTTTTTGTAGCAGCGTTTCTTTCCAAGGGTTCAAGAACCCTTGCTACTCTTAAACCAAATTTCCCCGAAACGCAAAGCATCCTTGTTTCCCCTTTCGCATTTTTCATTTTTTTGTAGCAGCGCTTCTTTCCAAGGGTTCCAGAACCCTTGCTACAACTTAAAACAAATTCCAGCCCCCTGTTCCATTTTACGATAAGAGAGACTCTTTTCCATTCTACCGATTCTGCCGATTCTGTCGGAGTGAGATCAGAGAATCAACGATCGGAGTTAGATTGGAGCATCCGAATACATTGACCATCATCACTTCGCTGACTCTGCGCTCGTGTTCTTCGACTACCCATTTTCAGATTTGGGCGAATTGGTTCAAGAAAATGCTGTTATAGGGTATTTTTTGGTGGTTGTTCGTTTGTTTGGTTTTTTCTTCCTCCAGCAATTCAACGCTCATGGGAAGTTGATGCAAAGGGTGAGTATGATTTGATGAGTCTCATTCAAAGTATGTATGGACGACAACTCCAACTTGCTTGCTCTGCGTTGTTCGTTGATGTGATTGAGGCAACAATTTGGGTCTTTTTGCCTTATAGGTCATGGCAGCAGTTTGGTGTTTTATTATGGAAACTTTCTTCTTGAGCCAAACAACTCTGTTCATCCCGGTCCAACTTTTGATTGATAGAATCTGTTCATTTTGACTTGCAGTGATATCTATAATCGGCAAAATGGACAAGAGCTGGATGAAGAAACATAGAACGAGCAATGAATATAAACATGGAGTACAACTTTTTCTTGATTATGCATTTCAAAATGCATCTCATGGAGCAAAGATATTGTGTCCTTGTATCAATTGTGTAAATGTATATGCACAAACATGTGAAGATATTCGGGTGCACCTCATTTGTGATGGTATTCTAAGAGGATATACTACATGGGTTTTTCATGGAGAAGCTTTATGTTCACCTCAAGCTAGTGATGTTGCTACTTCTTCCTCGCCATGGGAAAATATTTTGAATACGGAGAGGCTATCTACCCCTATTCAATCAAATCCAGCAATGAGAGCAGATTTGGCGGGGCTATTTCGGGATGTATTTCACCGTGAAGACCTAGTGAACAACGAACCAGCTTGTGAACAGGATGGAAATGTCTTGGAGGATAGTGATGAAGAAAATGATGGTTATGAAGTAAGGGATGATCCATTGTACAATACAGGTGGAATAGAAGATTTGATAAAATATGCAGATGATGAGCTATATCCGGGATGCAAGGCATTTTGAAAGTTATCGTTTCTGATGCACTTATATCACCTCAAGGTTCACAATGGATGGACTGCAAAATCCTTCACCATGTTACTTGAGTTGTTACTGCAAGCATTTCCGGAAGGTATATCCTTACCAAAATCTCATTATGCTGCTAAGAAGGTGGTTAAGAAGTTGGGTTTGGATTATGTCAAAATTGAAGCATGCCCGAATGATTGCAATTTGTATTGGAATTCTACAAAAGACGCCGTTTCTTGCTATGTTTGTCATAAATCTAGGTATGTTGTTGGAAAAATCGATGGACTCAAGGTGAAAGCAACAAAAGTTTTGCGTTATTTTCCTTTAATCCCGAGGTTACAAAGATTGTTTGCTTCTGAAAAGACAGCAAAACACATGAGTTGGCATGATAAAGTTCGTAAAAAAGATGGATTGTTGAGACATCCGGCTGATGGCGAAGCTTGGAAATCTTTTGATGATAGACACCCTAGTTTTTCTTCGGATCCATGCAATATCAGATTGGCTCTAAGTAGTGATGGGTTTACTCCGCATCGATCAATGAGATCAACCCATAGTACGTGGCCTGTGGTGTTGATACCTTATAATATGCCTCCTTGGATGTACTTGAAACAATCCTCTTTCATATTATCAATGATAATTCCTGGACCCAAAGGCCCCAGGAATAATATTGATATCTACTTAGAACCGATGATTGAAGACTTGATCCGACTTTGGGAGGGTGTGACTACTTATGATGCTTCCACTAAGCAGAATTTTACTATGCGTGCTTCTTTGCTCTGGACCATAAATGACTTTCCTGCATATGGTAACTTATCTGGATATAGAACACATGGTAGATTTGGTTGTCCTGTTTGTTGTGAATGTACTTGTTCAAAATGGCTAGAAAAGAGTGGGAAGTTTTGTTACATGGCACATCGTCGTTGGTTGGATGAAAGTCATCCGTTTAGGATTCAGAGTTCTCATTTTGATGGGACGGAAGAGTTCGGGTCAACACCACAACGGAAGACGGGAAGTGAGGTATTGAGGTACCTAGAAAGCAGAGAATTTTCATATGGGAAGAAAAAGAAAGGTAAGAGAAAGAGGGGTCGTGATGAATCTGCAGAGTGGGAGAAATGGTGGAAAAAGAAGAGTATCTTCTTTAGATTGCCTTATTGGGAGCATAATCTATTGCGTCACAATCTTGATGTGATGCATATAGAGAAGAATGTGTGTGACAATCTCATTGGTACTTTGTTAGATCTGGATGGTAAATCTAAGGATAACTTGAATGCTCGTCGTGACTTGGTGGATATGGATATTAGAAGTGGATTGCATCCTGAAATTTTGGCAAATGGAAGAAATCGATTACCTCCTGCTTTGTTCACAATGAAAAGAGATGAGAAACGTGTTCTTTGTGAAGCATTAAGCAGAATGAAAACACCTGATGGTTATGCCTCAAACATATCACGATGCGTAAACACCAATGATTGCAAAATCAATGGGTTGAAGAGTCATGATTGTCACATCTTGATAGAGGATATTCTTCCAGTCGTATTGCGAAGTTATAGTCCATCTAAAGAGGTGACATATGTTGTGGTGGAATTAGCATCTTTCTTCAAAGGATTGTGTGCGAAGGTGTTGAGTCTTGCTGATCTCGAAAAGCTCCAGACTCGAATTGTTTTGACTCTCTGTCACTTAGAGAAGACTTTCCTACCATCATTTTTTACTGTTATGGTGCATTTGTTAGTCCATTTGGTAGAAGAGGTAAAACTCGGTGGACCAGTTCATTCCAGATGGATGTATCCTTTAGAAAGGTAATGCTTAAATCGAGACCTTTTTAGTGCATATCAATGTCTATATGCATCATGACTAATTGGTCTAGTTTCCATTGTTATTGAATAGGTACTTTGTTCTCTTGAAATCCTTTGTTCGTAATCGTGCTTGTCCTGAAGGGTCGATTGTTGAAGTTTTTGAAGTTCTCCATAAGAGGAATGACGGAACATACATTAATGACTATGCTAAGGATTTCATGGTAAGACCAATACTTTTCTTTGATTCTACTAATTTATTATTCTGCATTCTGATTCCTGTGCATTTTTAAATTGTTGTTTCATAAAGGATAAAGCAACCGAAATGGAGGGCCCTAGGGAGGAAGTTTTCAGAAGCTAGCAGGCCCGGAGCATAATGGGAGGCTCCGATGCATGGGGTTAGGGCCAACTCCGACCACGTATTTTGGAGTGTGCTCAAGAGGGGCTGCATGTGGATCGTGTTCGGCTGGTCATTCATGTGCAGATGCGACTGCTTTGAAAGAGGAGTTAAGGGAGGTGAAGAAACACATGGATGTCATGGCGAGGTTCATCAGTAGACAGTTTCCCGGACAAAATTGGATGGAAGATGCTGAAAACAATCAGGTAATTTTCCATCTGTCTTTTTTCATAGTCAATTACGTTTGACTGTTTTTGTTCTGAGATTTATACTCTGCTCGGGGTTTTTGCTTGCTATGCTGCTCTCCATGGCGGATTTTGTGTAAAAAAGAGGATGCTAAAGAAACTAGTCTCTTTGATGCATAGTGAATCTTTAGCTATAGTTCGATATGCCATTTCATAGGGAAGTCAGGTTTCCAGGAGGGACATCTGCTAGTGAGGTATGCTCCTAGTGGCTGGGAAAATCACCTCAGCAGATTGCAAGATATTGATAGATAGAATAGGGTGTCCAAAGACTGCAGACGAAAAGGTGAAAGTTAGCTTCTTGCTTGTTGGAAAAATGGAAAAATGGATGCACAGGTGAAAGTTAATAAAGTGATGTAATTGAACACTCAGACTCTGTTGAGTTTGTATTCAGTCAGTTTGTACAATGAGAGTATAGGTACTGGGAGTGGGAGAGCTATAGATTTTCTGTCCAAGGAAAGAAAGAGGGTTTAGGGTTTTAATAAGTTACAGTACAGAGAAGGTTGAAATTTCAGGGAGGAAGCAGTAATGTATTAATTCATGACACTGCTAATTAATGTTGACAATTAGCTTCTTGCTTGTTGGAAAAATGGATGCACAGGTGAAATTTAATAGCTTCTTGCTTGTTTTCTTAGGCCAATTAGCTCTTGAATTATTGTTGACAATTATTTTCTTTTGTTAACAGGGTGCCACTAGTGAAGCTATTCCGTCAATGGGTTCTCGAGCTTCGTGATCAGATGGTGTACATGTCTTATATGAAGCATTTTGGAAATGATCGACTCATGTAGCTTTTAATCGGTTTCTTTTGAGTACTCAAAATATCATGAACATAACATTTTCCCTTTGATTATGTTCGAATGTTTATGGTGACTAGTATATAGTCATGTAAAGTTCACCATTTTGGATGATGAATCATATTATGTTGTGATTCAGGATATGAAGTGTAATATGGTATTTTATGAATTTTAGTAACGAATCTGGATTTGTTTTAATGACCAGGCTATTAGCAACCAAGCTATAGTTACAAAATCTGTTGCTTAGCTTTAGTAACGACTTTAGCCACCGTTTTGATTTTGACACAAATGTTTCCCAGCTTTAGCCACAAGCTGTGCAAGGGTTTTAACCCTTGTTACTATCCCCTATTATATAAAATTTGCATAGGCGTGTAGCAAGGGTTCAAACCCTCGTTAGATGTAGGAACGAATCTTCCAAGGGTTTTAAACCCATGCTAGAGGGACTGGTACTTGAATTTTACAAAGACAAATACCAAGGGTTTAAACCCTTGCTATACCCGCTGCAAAGAACTTGCACCAAGGGTTACGAATAACCCTTGCTACACGTAGCAGGGGCGGCTTTGCCAAGGGTCAAACCAAGGGTTGTTTGAACCCTTGCTACATCTTGCAGCAGGGGTTAAAACCCTTGCTACGAATAAAAATAACCCTTGCCATAGACCCTATTTTTTGTAGTGTCCCTTACTTGTTTGCCGTTGCAATGGAGATTTTTCTCATGTTTAATGAAACAAGATGCTAATAGTGGTATTCTTCCTTTCCCCAAGATGTAAAAGACCCGGTCTAACTAACCTAATATTTTCTAATGATTTTTTATATTCCAAGAAGGGTCAACCCATGGATTTAGTTGTATCAAATATATCTTTGAAAAGTTTAGGAATCTTTCCAATCTAGTATCTAATCTAGCTAAATGTGAGCTTTACCGTGGAGTTCTATCACCAAAGTGGCAGATAGCAATCGTTGACAGAGTAGGGTTTAGATTGGGTTCTCTACTTGTTCGTTAACTTAGTGTACCTCTTATTCCTTGGAAGTTGTCTATAAAGGCTTGTAAACCTCTCGTAGATAGGTTAATTGGCAAAGTAAGTAGTTGGAGGGTAAAATGTCTAAGCTATGCGGGTCGACTGCTACTGATAATGGCATTGTTGTACAACCTTACTCATTTTTGGATGACCATATTTATCATACCAAAGGTAGTGGTTAAAGCAATTGAGAAAATATGTAGTGACCCTTTGTGGGATGTTAGTGAAAATGTGAGAAAAAGGCAGTTTGGCATGCATATGGGAGAAAATTATTTTCTCCAAGAAAAAGGGAGGTCTGGGTTTAAGAAACTTATCGAGCTGGAATCTTGCTTGTGTCATCAGACACATTTGGATTATCTTGCAGCACTAGAGATCGGTTTGGGTTGCATAAAGTAGAGAATTTAAAATGAAAGGAATGGACTTTTGGTTTGTACTGGTAAAAGTTGTTCGTGGATATGGCTTAAGTTGTCGAAAACAAGAGATAAGATTCAACAACTAATGATAGTGAATGATGGGAAGGTGTTGTGGAATGGACTCCAGATTAGGGATGACAATTACCCACCCATGGGTAATTATATCCGAACCCTAGTAGATAGGGCTGGTTATTTGGTCCGGGTTTTTTGGTTTTACCCGAAATCGGACCGTATAACCCCGATCGGGACCGGATAGTAAACAATCCAATCCAATCTTTGGGCTTAGATTTGAGGTAAAAATCCGTTCGAGAACGGATCGAAAACGGGATAAAGACCGGATAAGAGAGCTCAACACCCAAAACTTAAGGGTAATTTGCATAAACGGTCACAAACCTTTGCACTTAGTACAAAACCTAACCAACTCCTCAACCTTTCAGGCCTTAGGCCACTCAAATCCTCACAAGCTCAATATAAAATCAAGACCGAATTGGGACCGGACCGGGTCAAGACCAAACTGTATCCAATCCAATCTTTGGTCCTTATATTTTCAAAAAAGACCGGACTGGACCGGATCAATTTGGGCCAATTTAACCGGACCGTATAGCCACCCCTACAAGTAGATCCATTGATAATGGATAGGGTATGGATGGAGTATATATGAGTTTGGGTAAGGTATGAATATTGTTTTCATAATCTAAATGGGTATGAGTTGGATATGGATATCCTTTTACTTTATGGTATTTTAACTACATATATAAATATTGGACTTGTCTAGGGGTGGGAAACGGTGCGGTCCGGTCCAGACCAGACCATAGATACGGTCTGTGGTCCAGACCGAGAGGTTGGAACACAGACCATGGACCAGACCATATACTATACGGTCCAGACCAGACCACACCTGTGCGGTGCGATCCGGTATGGTCTGGACAGACAGACCATGTTAAAAAAATTAACTCTTGTTCGCCCTCCAACCCTTCGTCGGTATCTATAAAAAAATCTAGTGACCAATATGCTAGTGAAACAAAAAATTGTGATCGTATTAAATGAGAAGAAATATGAGGATAGAAGTGGGTTTTTTCAATTTTCAAATAGCCTTATTTACCTATTCCTCTTTGTGCTACCGCTTCTCTCCTCTCTCGAGTGATCCGAAGGTTCTCCCAGTTGATAACCTTTTTGATGACGTCGAGGTAATTTCGAACCACTAAGATGGTCGCATATCTCTCAATAATTTTTCTTATCTCATCAAGGTGAACGAATTTTTTTGTAGTTTTTAATTTTTATCGACTCCCTAGTCTAGACATTATCTGTGAATATTTATGAGTCTTTCTAATTTTTGTGTGGTACTTTGATAAGGAGATAACATATAAGCGATCATTTTGCAATTTGTTGAATCTCAACTAGATGAAGAATCAACTAACTTTGTTCTTCAAATACACATATGGAGGTTCAATTTAGTGTTATATTTGTCCAAGGTAGTAGGTAGTGTGTCGCGGTCTGTTACGGTTTACTGCGGTAGACCGCGGTCCAGACAACTTCAGACCACGCACTAAAGGAGGAGACCGCAAACCAGACCAGACCATAGTTCTGGTCTCACGGTCCAGACCAAACCATACGATACGGTCTAGACCGCGGTTCCCATACGGTTTGGTCTGGATTCCCAACCCTAGACTTGTCTGTAAAAATTGAAAATTTTAGGTACCAAAATATAAGACCAAAAAAATTTAAGTTCTAAAATGTAATTTGTTACAAATTTTTTGAGGACTTATATGCAAAAAAAATTAATTTAGGTACTATATATGCATATCTAATGAGTTTGGGCATCAAACTGTAATTTACATTTGGGCATGGTTACAAACCCAAATCCATGTGTTAAAAACCCAACCCAACCCAAGTAAATGGGTATGGGTACAAACCCATCAAACTCTACCCATATCCATCTATTTTGATTTTATACGCAAGTCAATTGGATTGGATAGTAAAATTCCAATGGGTATGGGTAAAATTGTCATCCCTAATCAGACGGGGATGTACAAATTATATTGTTTGAACTTAGTATTTGGTGAAGTTATATTGTCCAGATTACTATTATGCTAACCCATGAAGTTCCTAATTACTACTTCAATTCATATTATCTTAGTTTCGTTTGTAAATTATGGTAACAGCTAAAAGTGAAAAAAATCTCTTCTAAAATGTGTAAAATATATATAGGCAAGAGTAAGATATAATACAATTATTAAAAAAATATATACTCACTACCAGTAATGGCACAAACAACCAGTAACATCAATATTGCTTTCTAATCACGCAACAACTATATAAAAGATCCCAAATCATTGAAAAGATAAACATAAATAATACAAAAAATTTATTCATCAAAACTAATCGGCAAAAGCTAGTAGTTTTGAAATTTAAAACTTAAGGTATCATTTGGACAAAATAATTTGAACCATAAATTCATTGAATTCATAGATTCTACTGGAAGTTATTATCCAGGATTTTTTTAGAATGTGAACCATAGATTCGATGAATTCATAATTATGTTTTTACTACTTTTTGTACCGTAGATTCGAACTTTAAAAATTTAAAAATTGAAAATTTTAGAGATGTAAAATCTCTTGTAATTAGAGAGATTCTATATATTAATTGACTCGTCAGTTTTTCACCTACTTCGTCTCTTCTTTCCAATTTATGCTAGTAAAACTCTTACCAATAAATTTTCAAGTCACTTTGATTCTTTTAGTTAATGGGAAACATGGCTTTGATAAGAAACACAGAATTAATCTTTCATACAACGTTTAACAATCGAAGTTACATACAATGCAAATTAAATATAAAAAAAATCAATTATTTTGTCGACAAATTTGTCAATTATAACGCCGTCCAACCGAGTAGCTTCTAAAACGTCGACGAATCAAACGGAGGAAACAAACAAACAATCTCGCGCGTCTGTATATATATAGCGCAGTGGAACAACAAAGCAAACCCCACAGGCTAGCTAGAGCGCTCTACTTAATAATAACATTTGTGTTTTGTTACTCGGTGAGAAGAGATATTAGAAACTGGGATTCCGTACTTTGCCAACTGGAGAGAGAATTACTAGGCGGAAGATACACACTATTTGCATGCAATGCATGGCCTCTTTTCCTGGGGTGGGTTTATATATCCATTCCAACAAGGTGCCTGGCCGCTAATATATCTAAGCTAGCTTAGCTAGCTTATTGCGTCCGTTCACTTCTATATACTAAAATAAATGTACAGCTTTACTGGTGAGGAGCATCATCGATCACTGAATTGCTTTGGCTCCAAAAGTGAATGGATTGCTGCACTGCTTGCTTCACCATCTGCGCATCCATGGTCTCCTCGTTTTCCAGCTTCTGTCACCAATACATATATAGACATACATAAACAACAGCAACAACAACAACAAGAAGCAATATAATTCGCAGTCTCGGGCACCAGATGATGATCGAGATGGTGCTCTTGTAATAATTATTTGTGTGGTCGGAATAAAACGCTCGCATACTGCCACATGTGTATTTTTCCCTTCCTTTAATTTCTTGTGTCTGTTTCTTTTTTTCTTTTTTAGAAGTTCTGTATTTCGGACAGAAATGGAATATTAGTTATTCATACATAGGAATCATCAAAACTATATATGCATGAGTTGAAGGCTAGGGATGAGAATCAACAACAACTGATTGAGGTTTCCAGTATCGTACTTACTTGTCCGGTTCCAAGAGCTTGGAGTTGGAAATTGTCGGAGCAGGAGACGGTAGCATCAAGCACCTCCAGCCCCAACTCATCGAAAGCTTCCAGTACCGCCACCAGCAAACCTGGGGAATTCTTGTCCGACACCACGTTTATCGAGTACCCCTGCTCTAGGGTTTCCACCGTCACCTGCTCACTCATTCATTAGCGTACAACACATCTAATAATAATAACAGTAAACCTAAACCATCGCTGGCAGGAATTTGTTATTGATTTACCATGGGCTGGGGATTCTGTGAAGACGAAGAAGAAGAAGAAGAAGAAGCAGCTGGTGGTGGTTGTGCAGTAGTAGCCTCTTCTCCACTCAGCCTTTCCACCTTGTCCTTCAACTCCTCTATGTACTTGGTTGCGTCCACTATGATTGAAGTCTTGTCCATCTGCCCTCCAGTCCATCACATAAATCAACAGCCAGAACACAGAGCACAAAATGAAATAAAACCATCATAAATTCAGAATGGACGGCTTTCGCTGCAGATTATATCCATGTGTGCTTAGAGATAGGGAAAATTTACAGCGGAAGAGTTGGTGATGGAACGGAGAAGTTGAAACTGATCGGAGAGAGTCTCTGCTGCTGTTGATGCTGGTTCCCTCGTCTTCTTAATCTGCTTCTTGGTGCTGGAGCCCATAATTATAGTGCAGAGATCACTGTCAAAGCAATATATATAAATCAGCAATTAATTAGTTGTGGTTTGTAAAGGGTCAGATGGTTTTTGGAGAGCTGGTGATCGATGGATGGATGATGATGATCATGACCCCCAGGGCGTGGCCCCCTTATTTATAATATTCTTTCTTTCCCCTCTCCATTGCTTTACTGCAGCAGCATTGCTTTGTTCTTTTCCTTGCTAATGCTATTGCATAGACTCCCTCTCTTACCTCCCATTTACAAATTATTATTATATACAATCCAAACGCCTCCCCCAAATTACCTTTCTAGCCTTTCCATCCCTTTCTTTCACGTATATTAATAATTCCTTCTCATTATTCAAAAATATGTATCAACATCAAAACTGAGCTACTGTTATTTGAATGCCAATAGAAGCGATTTTCAGTAAGAATGACATTCACATTAAGAAAATAAAGAGCGAGAAAACCCTTTTTCACTATATATGCAAACTACTTTTTACAGGTCATTTGGACTTAGTTTTACTCTCGCAACAAGTTATTAATGAAAACCTTGACCAAACAATGGACCCCATATCGTCTCTAAGAGTAGATAACGGTTAATTGAAGCATACATCGTGTTAATTAATGTACACCAAATGACATTTCTCTCGTATATGTATATAGAGAAATTGAGGAGTAAACCGTGGATTTATCACAAGCTTATTGGAGGATTATCAAAGTGTTGTCATGGGAAACTATTCCCTCATTTATTTTTCTCATAGTTCATTAATTTGCCTCCAGATTAGACTCAAAATGTAGTGTGCTGGTAGATCTAACTAAGTTTTAGCGATCGACCTACTCCGACCTATAGCCTATAGGCAAAGATATAAATATATTACTCTAGCTAGGAACCCTAATTTCTAATTGATTATTGATTATTGATTATTGATCACCTATAACTATCATAACCCCTTTCTATAAAAAAAAAATAACTATCATAACCCCTAGGATTCTCCAAGAAGTGAATGCTGTAATTCACGTACTACAATATATTTGAATTAAGCGATGGGTGATTTTTTTTTTATGAAGGTGAAGTCAAGCGATGGGTGATTGTCATTATCAATAATGTGCTTCGAAATTGATGTGGATAAAATTTTAGAGAGAGAGAGGGGTACTTACATACATGAGTGAATGGAAGGGCACGAGATGGAGAATATGAAAACGCGTTGGGATGAGAGAGATAGATGACGTGGAGAGAGAGAGAGAGAGTGAGAGAAGGGGAAGTGATGATAATAATGTTATGTAAAGGGAACAAATCCCCCGTGAGAAATGTTTGGAGGGATTGAGGAGTGACAGCTAACCCTAATTTGACTCTTCCGTCGCTCCTTTCCATAACATACACACTCTCTCTCTCTCTCTCTCTCTACCATCTTCTTGCTTTGCTTGCTGTGGCTGCTGCTGGCTACACAGTTTGTCCCTCTTGTCTACCTCTGCCATCCAAATATCACATTCACGAGCCATTTATACTCTTCCTCTGTCTCTCTATATTCCCCTATCCCCCTCCCATTTCCCCGTTTTCTTATCGCCTCTTAATTCATTAATAACAAAATCCATCCACTCATGCATAAAACAGAAAATAAACTTGGCAAATAAACAATATGCATGACTCATATGTAGGTAAGTTCAGTTTAGTGGGTTGTGGTGCCCAATTTTTCAACTAGAAAATTTAGTTTGAACTCTTTTAAAAAGTATTTTCTCAATCGTATTTTTAAAATCTTACGGTACCGATGGTCAAATAGGTATGTAAACTATTGAACTTCTATTATTTACGATTTAAACGCAAAATACTCTACTTTTTTTTGGTAAAACGCAAAATACTCTACAGTTGAGCTTTTTAGTAAAACTCTGGCACGATTTTACAAGTTTTTCTTTTAGCATGCACCTCTTCTCCCTCTTTCGGTTAATGTAACCATAAGAAACAATTTTAAGTACTATATGGTATCAGGGTCGTCCATTAGCATGTGCTGGGAAGCCTTCAGACATAGTGCTCATATTATAGGATGAAATTATACGAGAGGCTGGGGGCCTCGAGTTTCTAAGAATTTGACGACTTTGCTCTATATAATGTGTAGTACAAAATTAAAATATTAATTTGACTTTGCTATAATGATAAACCTGTTGGATAATGCATACTTGGCTCTGGTTTCAAACCTCTCTTCTTTGTTTTAGCAAATGATTTACTTAACTTAACTTGACTAAAATGTAAGTTTAGCCTCACCACTTCAATATTCTGATATTTTTTTATTTCTAAATTTCAAGTTTCTCCATTTAACACACATTGTATGAACATGCACCCGTTTATTTAATTTAACTTGATTAAAATTTTGAATATTTTGGGCTTAGAGTAATGCATTGATTAGTTATGATCCTATGTTATATCATCATATTCGACAAAATACTACTAATTAAAGTTCAAAATTTGATCTCCTAATGCATGCTAATGTTAGAGTTAGGTGCAAGATTCACTCATTTTTGTGTGTACCGAAGAAGTCACCATATATATATAGTCGAAGTTCCCTTATCTCGTGCTCCACACGACTCAAAGAAAGGAAGTAAAGAGAACTTGTGCACCTGCATAATCGACATCTACGTAGGTGGTAAAAGACAGCACACGTGGAAGGAAAATAGTTCCCGACGTGGGGTGTATTCTTCAAATAACAAAGAACTCGGTGCACCACATCTAAATGAATCGTACGGGAGGTGAAATGAACTGGCTCACAACTTATACTGCATATGAGATATATGGTGCATCTTTCACCCTCTGAATAAGGAGATACGTCTGCTTGCTCTCCACAATCACCTATCTTGTATCCTCGGGTGGAAGTCAAATAGATTAAGATTCTCATAAGACAAGGGTACTTGGAACTCTTAGCAGCCGGTAATTGCTCCTCACTTAACACTATACAATTATAATGTTGCTCCATATATATTATTGCTGACTTACTATCTGCAAATCGGGCCTTTTGGAGTAAATCCAAGAAATACTTGTGATGGTTAACTAACAAGCCATGTAACGAACACATTAATCTATAATCCCATGAAATAAGAAAGAACTCCTAATTCCTCAAGCTTAAAAGATCGATGACGAAACTAGGTGAGTTCTCGAATTCCATTAGCATCATTTCTGGTGACATCATCTCATCAACATCAATCAGAAGACCAAACCGACACTTATATCATTGTACGGAGAAACAAGGATGGAACTTTTCAAGCCAAGCTAGTGGTGCTTGTTTCAGGCCATATAAAGAGTAATTCAGAAGACAAATCATGGAAGAATCATCTTTGGTATAACTAGCTAGACATTCCATATAAATCTTTTCCTTCAGATCACCATCCAAGAGTGAATTTTTGACATCGAACATAGTGAGAGACCAATTACATAATAATGCTACAATAAGAATGGTATAAACTATCTACATCTTAACAAGTGGAGTGAAGGTCTCACCATGATCAATTCTAAATTGTGATTGGAGTGAAGGTCTCATCATAATCAATTCTAATTTTTTACTGAAAACCTTGAGCAACAAGTCTTGCTTTATACCTTATTTTGAGCTTTAAACGCATAAATTTCTTCGTGCATAGCGGCATTTAAAAACTTATTACCACTTGCTTGCAGGTAGGATGAAGGAATCAGAATAGACATTGGTTTAGTGTAGAAGGCCACAAAGTCATTGTGATGAAGGGGAGGTTGTACGAAGTTAGCCCAGGTTGAACGTTGACGAGTAGAGGTGGCAATTTCAATCCAATCCACCAATCCAATCCATCAATCCATTAAAAATATCCACCTAATTCAATCCATTTAAATCCAATCCATTTAATCCAAATCCAATTGGATTGGTGGATTCATGGATTGGATCCATGGATCATTGGCAAATTACGGTTTAGTACCTATAATTTTTATTTTTTACATTTTGGTACCTAAAATTTATTTTTTTATACGAAAAATATCATTGGAAAATTACATTTTGGTACCTAAAATTTTTCATTATGACATTTTAGTACCTAAACTTTTTACATTTTACATATTGGTCCTTGGTTGAGGATGTCATTTGGATTCATGGATAATCCACCAATCCACTTGATCCAATCCATGAATCCACCAATCCATTAGATCCAATCCATTTGATCCATGGATCCACCAATCCAATCCATCAATCCACCAATCCAATCCATTTGCCACCTCTATTGAAGAGCCACTGCTGCTTAGACGAGCTATTAGACGAGCTCATCTCAAAATGAAGCTACTGCATGAAGGGAGTGGACAGGTCTGGACCAGAGGAAGAAGGAACAGAAAACTCAAAGAGTGTGGCCAAAGGAAGTGTATTAAGAAAATAAACATCCACAAGAGGCGCATGTTTCACATAATGATAGTGCATAACGTTCTCCAAGAGTACAAAATGACAAGATAACAGCATCCAACAAGAGATAACCTCATAGCATAATTATCATTTCGAATGATCACTATACTCCAAAAACACACTCTTAACTACCTTAGGATTCCATTTATTATATTCCTTTTTGGGTAGCAAAACATAGCATATACAACCACAAACCTTCAGCCATTGGTAATCAAGGTGTTTTTCATAATAAAGTGAAGAATGGCGAGTTATGATTCAAGACGGGAGTGGCATGTTGATTAATCAAATAAACCAATGAACGGACTACCTCCACCTAGAAATTAGAAGGCATCTATGAATTTAAAAGAAGGGTGCAGGTGAGATCAATCACATGGCAGTGCTTTTGTTCCACAACACCATTTTGTTGTGAGAGTCCAAGACTCAACTATTGGGAAACAATCCAATGTTGTTTATAGAAACTTTGTAATGGAGCCGAACTAAAATATCCTTCTCGATATGAACGAGCAATCCCAGTTTTACCAAATTGTGTATGAATCATCCACATAAACTCACATGCCATATTGCAAAAAGCATGCTTTTGTATAGAAGAAAACCCAGCTATAGCTAGTGACATGATTTGATAAAATGAGCTAAGCAGTGATATCCCGTGTGTACTAACTAAAAGCAAAATAGTACATAGTATCACTCGAACTAAAAGAGTATTGATAGTCTTGGCCTCAATACAAAT